AAGGCTCCAAATGAGTTGCACCCCTGCACTGTCATCTGGCAGCACACAAGCCTCTGCAGCTACGATATTCAGAGAATCTTCAGCAGTTTCCTACTCTGAAAACCACAATCACTAAATTCAAAGACTTCAAAACTCATTTTAGCAAAAAGAAATACATCCTCAGTGACTCACGTTAATGACAACGGTTTGTCCAGGGAGAGGAAGAAAGCCTGCCTACCATGGGACATCACAGATGCTCTTCCATGGAAAGTCATTTAAGCACAGTCAAGAGAGAGCAGACTTAACTGCATGAGTTTTCCCAGCAGAAAAGCAGAGATGAAATAGAAAGTACAAACTATGGTTCCCTCAAGTAAGATGAACAGTGGCATTCAAATAAGATGGCAGGGCATTCAGCACAGATGGTCCCACCTTGGCTGAGAAGTCCACTTGTTTCTAAGCACAACCCACATGGGTTTTTAGAGAAAACAGGTTTTAGAAAACTTTTGTTGAGGACAACCTACTTTATCTTCAGTTGTGCTTTATGGAATAGACATAGGGCAATATCACTGTTGCCAACTTGTGGCAAAACTCTCCCCAGAGCTTTAAAATTTTAATTACATTCAAAAAAAACGTACTGTGGATATTTTTTAAAAATAGCTCCAAGACTGGCCTAAAGCATTCCAATGATGCAAATATTTCTGTGGTTTGAAAGTGGTCTAAAGGTCATCACTTAACAGAGGCAAGGTTACAGTCAACTGCAGTTATCAGTTGTATGACACCAAGTAATCAGTCAGTTAAACAGCAGAACAAACTTGGTGTTTTCTCCCCATCTTACTCTTAGTCTTGCATAGGACATTCTAGATAAGACAACAAACTTGCTTCAAAATGAGAAAGCTAGGTTCAGCTACCAGTATCAAGCCAAAAATATGTATTAAAGTAACTAATGCTAACCTTTGGAGTTCTCAGCATTGACCACAATCTGCCTATATGAGCAGGAGCTGTAAGTGACCCTATCAAGACTCCAGTAAAAATAGAACAAGATTTTTAGTATATTTAGCATAAATACAAAATCTTGCATCCTCTGCTTTGATGCTTGGTAAAAAAAAACACTAGGTGTACAAAATTCCCAACAAATTTTTGTAGCTTGAGTGTCAGAGGTAAAGAAGCACTATGAGTATCAGATGCAAGATGTCACACCATGATGACACAGGAAGGACCCCAGTATTACCTTTCATGCTGAACTTGTTCTATAGCATTCAGAACCAATTTTACCTCTACACTTTAAAGCTGATATAAGCATGGTGAAGTACTACAATGCATGATTAAGACTGGTCTTACATGCAGTCTCACCCAGTTGATCGATACTTTTTATACCGAAGTTCAAGTTTTTCTACAAACTGTAGCGTCTGCCTAATGGGCTCATAGCAGATTCCAACAAGGTCATCATTCTTGTGTGATTCCCCACCACATCCCTTCTTAGTAAAAATTATGTACAGACCTCATGCACAATTCCAGTGTTCAAAAATGCCCCCAAAGAGCTGCCATCGTATTGGCAGCACTAGTCAAAACAGTCAAAGGAAATGCTGGAATCTCAATGCCCACTGCAAAACTTCGAGTCCTGAGTCTTAGAGCTAGGTCATCCTTCCACACTACACAGAAGTGAATCTGCTTGGTTTATACTCTACTACTTTTGTGAGCTTGAGACATTTAGCTGTCCTTTTGAGATGGTCTGATTGGGGCCCAGTGAGAATAACAGCAGAAAGCACCAGTGTTGACTGCAGAAACTTTACCAGCCTCAAACTATCCATGGGAGTTACACAGACAAGTAAAACTTTATAGAGACAGCCAGGGTTACTGACAAGTGCCAGTGTCCTCCTCATTACCCTAAATAACCAGAGGTCTGGAATGAGCAAGCCCTAGGTCCCTGTGGCCACCCCAGACAACAACAGCCCCACCTAGGGCAGAGAACCCAGTGGAACAAGTCAGGTGGGCATTAATTACTGCTGCAAAACTAGCAGTAGCTCCAGGCTAACACTGGAAAGATGCTGGGTTTTTAGAAGTCATTAAAGAGTACTTTCCAAATCCCCCCTGGAACATTTCACTGGCTCAAAGTGATAAAATGTTAACATTGATTTAACAAAAAGAGAAAAAAGAAAGATATTATCTTAAAAGCTCCTGTGAAATAAAGCTTCCCTTCATACAGAAATTCCCAGACCTGCTGCTACAGCAAGTAGGTGGAAAATAGCTTGTAGGTTTAGGGACACCCAACATTAAGCAGGAAAAGCTGCTGATTAAAGTACCCAATTTCACTGAAGGCCAGAGTCTTTTGCAGGAGATTGGAAAACTCCACTATTAAAGTCAATGCCACTTCCTAAAGAGGTTTCTAAGTGACATAGTTTAAAAGGCTTAAGTACCAGTGATACTAAACTCTGCAGAACATTTTATACAAATTAACAGCATGCCCCAATTCTTAAAATCTTCATTAGTCCAAAACCAGAAAGGCAGTGGAGCTGTGCTGAACATTTACCATCAAATGGTAAAAATCCTACTCTGCAGAACCAAATAAGCCTGTCCCAACTGGCGCTAACCAGATCTTGGTTTGGGTTTACTGATGGACTGTGGTACCTAAGCAGCCCGATTGAGTTTCTATTACTCCAGCTGGATAAACCACATTTGGAAGGAAGTTGAACTGCAGGACTTGAGTTTCAGTCAAAATCATTTTTGCATTACTTTATTGTAATACAGATTTAACATTTAAAACTTATTAATAAGCCAAGCGCAGTAGCTTCGGTGCAGTATGTACTTTACGTAACTTGCCGCACATTCATGTTAGATCTGATGTACATGGAGAAGAGACTGGTCAACTGTATGATTCATAGGATAAAGCAAAAGCAAGCACCTTTTTACCAAACTAAACAGTTCATGTCAGTGTTTCTTACAGAAAATCAACTCACTTCTGGCTTCAGGAGCTAGTTTGGATAAGAGCTGAAAGCTATTTCCGGAACATCAATCTTCTACACTGGCACAAGAAAAAGTCTTCAAAGCAAAGGTATGGGACTTCCTTTTTATTGTTTTTTTTTTTTTTTTAAGAGACAACCTGTTCTCCTTGTGTTTACGAGGTGAATACATGCAGTTTTGATCATTCTGGCAGAGGTTAACAAAGAGCAAACAACAGTGGGGGCTAAACAAAAAGCAATCAAAAAGTTGCCAAATATTTAAGGTACAAGCCAAAAAAAAAAAAAACACCAATGCAACCAGTTTAATATCTAAGCCCGCTTTCTTCCAAAGAAAAATGGCACAAATTAATCCATAAGCCAGACAAATTTAGTTTTAGATGGTACTAGACAGAATTAATGCTTCAAAGCATTAACAGGATTTATTTCACTGCAGGGAAGGGAAGAAGTAATTTGAACAGGCTCTGTGTATTGACCAGAAGCACCCTTACAGTTCAGTCCACATATGCAGAACTGATAACGATGTGATGTTACCTTTACTCAGGTAATATTAAAGTGTTAGAAATCACAGAGCATAAGCATCTTACTTGTACAAGCCAGTTAATGAATAAACAGAAGAGCTGAAAACTGGTTTTCATACATGTCCTTCTCCAGATTTTTCTTTTGGAACAGAAAAATCCCTCCGCCAACAGCCCAATAAATACTAACAGATGTATTTAGGTACCATCTTCAAAAATCTGTTGAAAATGCAGTCTCCAAATGATAACTAGCTTTATGCAATACTAATATCTTACATAAGTCTTATGAATTGTCATTAATAGCAGTAACTGAAATTAATGTATACCAAGTCTCCAGGTGATGTGCAAGTTCAGCTGTGTAACACAGGTGGAGGTTTTGAACAGTTCTTAACATCTTGCTTTGGACAGGTCTTCAACTTGTCCCATAGATTATAGAACCTCTAGGCTACAGTACTGTGCAACTGTCAACATCTTCAAGAGCTCTTCAATGTAAAGAAATTTGATGGAAGCACCAAACAGCAAGATCATGCTCTTAGTAGAGCGCCTTGAATTCTGAGAATTTTAGGCATCACTGCTGTCTTGCCTTGACTACAGAACACTAATGAGAGGACACCAGGGTAAAAAGGAGCAAAAATTCAGTGAAGTCCGCTTCAAACAGGGAATGTCATACACAAAAAAAGTCTGACTCCACAAGCATGTAATCTAAATTCTTGAAGAGTTGTGTATTAACACAGAGCTCAAGGTGCCTTAACTTAGCTAGACCACCACAATTTATTAATACTATGAATCCAGCATAGCTGCATTTCATCCAAGGGTCAGCCTTTGCTTCCAGTTAAAGCATGCATACCACCTCACTAAGTACTCCTTTCCCAAATTTCAGGTTTGGAGCTCTTCATTTTCTTATTTCTCCTGTATTACCCCTTCCCTAAATCTAGAGCTTTAGAGACTCGAGCTCTCCACCAAAGACTTGTTGCATCTACATGTAAAAATACTTAGGACACTCTTCCAGCCCAACACCTCTTTCACCACTCAGAAATGGATATGCAGAAGATCAGTCTTGATCTCTAGTTCAGTTTTAGATTATGCTTAAGTTACAGCAGCCAGAGTTCAATTCTATGAATGTAAGCTCAACACAGAGAAAGCCATTTATCCTTTGTAATTCATCTTTATGGCATGTTTATCCAGAGATTTATAATCAACTTCCAGTTTTAAATTATTTTCTTAGCACTTCAAAGAACCTGCCATCTCCTTCAGCAGGGAGTGACATGCATCACACAGAATGTTAAGTTAGTCCAAGTTTCAACAAGTTTCAAGACCAGAAGTCTTACTTGTTAGAACACACCTCTTTTCCAACTATTTCCCCTCATTCCCACCCCTTCCCAGCAATGGGCAATTACAAGAAATGTAAAATGGGATACGGGTGCACACAAAATCTACCCCTCACTAATACTGAACAGAAAAGCCTATTTTCCAATTACAGGACATCCTTCTCTAAACTTAGGTCTGCACTGGTGCAGTCTGCACTGTTTTAAGATTACCACAAGGATAATACCAATAAGTACATATATTTTATTAAACCAAATTAAAAGCCTATGAAGTTAATTGGGGAAAAGTTTAATATTGCTACTTCAGAGCACTAGAACACACAAAGTGAATCCTTGTATTGAGTCAATATTAAGTATTAATTGCATGACCATCATAGCACCTCTTAACATTATCACACAATAACCAGTTATCAATTGCTTTTAAAACTAAAAAGGGTACAGTCCAATATTTATAACTTGCACACTGTTACTATATAGAAACTAGGTGCGTGGTAGTGCTGCAAAAATGGAAGCCTGCAGTTTTGACAAAGATGCCAAGTCATGTTGTAGACAATTTCAGTCAAACTGGCAATACTGTTTAAGCTAATAACACAGCAAGAAATAAAGGACAAAAAAAAAAAGCATTTTATAACCAAATAAACATTTGAAATTTCCTTTCCCTTTAAGAATACAAGTAAGGTCACTTTTAGCCTTGGAACAGGATACATGTTTGCCTATGATGATCTTGCTAACTACTACACAATATCTGATGTCCTCTGCTAAGAATATATTTTAAGAAAGCTGCAGTTACAAGAGGCATCTAATGTAATATCTAAAATTTCCTTTATGGCAATTATTGAATTCATTTGTCTTAAACAGTGAATATGGAAAGATGGCCTCATGTTTCCTTTTCAATAGTACTCTGAGGATCAAGTGGCTTTCAAGCAGCATGGTGGGTTTGAAGTTTTTGCAGTTTAGATCATTCTGTTGCGTTTATGAGTTGGTGAGTCTGTAATGACATCGCCACACTGGGCTGAGGTACGCTTTCTAGTTCCACCATTGTCCAAGTGGAGTGCCATTTCTTCTGATATGAAAGTGTTCAAATCAACATCATGAAGTCCATTTCTCCTTCGACTAGCATTGGAGCCACTGCTTACGTGAGTGGGTGAGCCTGGGGTACTTGAGCGAACACTTATACTAGCCATTGCACCACTGAGACCTAGGGAGAAAAAAAGAGGAAGGATTTAGGTCAGATAGTAAAGAAAAGTTAGTTTCCCATGTGTGGCAGAAGGGATGACACTTATCTGACTTCTAGAGGTAAGTTAAAGGCACTTCATCCTACTATTTGTGCCACACTTCCTCATAGTCCAGACCACACCTTCCCAGATTTTAATCCATTTAAGTATAACAATTACCAGAACTGCTTCTTATGACATTAAGATAAGCTTATACACCAAGTTGTAACAGCACACTGTAACAAATGCTAGCTTCATAAACATGACATGCTGTTCAAAATGTGTACATACTCAGAGCAGACCACTTCAATGTAAAACACTAGACCAGTAGTTACACAGAAGGAAAATCCCCTACCAAGGATATCCAGGTTGACCTGATTTGGTCTTGTTCCAACCACCACCACTCTGCTCCCTTTCACTGCCTCAGTCACTAGTTCTAAAGAAAAATGCAGTGTGACAGATCTGACAGGTACACAAGAGCTAGTTTGTAAGTTAAAGCTTTATTTCATGGCTAACACTATCAGCCAAGACATTAGTATTACTAGAATTCAGAAGAGCACTTAAACAAGCCAATGAGACAATCCCCCAAATTTACTATTGACAGGTTGTTCCAAAACACTTGTCACAGGTACCCTGCAAATACTTCAGTTTGAATTCAGATTATCAAAGTGTTTAACTAAAAGAGAAGTTTGTTTCATGTAGAAATAAGGCTATAAACAAGAAAATAATGAATTTCATACTACATACTTCATCTTCTGCAATGTTGCTATTACAACTGTGCAACAGTAGGACACTAAAATTCAGTAAGGGCTAACATATGAAAGCATAACAACTCTTGTCCAACTGGAATTCAGGCTCTATTTGTAGGAACACAGGAGCTCAGAGGTGAGACAAACATCTTTGCTGTCATAACTGCTTCAAATCTGAGTAGTATAAGGAAAGTACAAGAGCATCTGTTGGCCTTAGAAATAAACTATCAAAGCTAGTGTCAAGCACAAGTCACGCAAAAAGATGAAGAGCGCAACAAGATCTACATCTGTGTATTTTTCTAGCAATAAGAAAAAGTGAATGTTAAGCTGTTCAAGATTTGCCTCAGTAACTTTCAAAATCATGAGCCCCAACGTTCTCTCCAGTCTCAAATATTCTATACCTCTGTCCAGCCACCATACACCCTGTTTGCAAAACCATTTAATACATAACTTCATGTATAGTCAAGGCAGTAGCCAGAACTCACATGCTGACAAGTAAAGCTTAACCTATTTGCGACTGGCAGGCCAAATAAGCCTCTTCAGAGGCTCTGTGAAGAGAGGACTACTAGAGCTATTAGATCAGTTGCTAGAAACATCAATTAGAAGGTACATTCTAAAACCATCTGCAGCAATGTCAGGTTACATTACAAGTCAGGATAGAACAGGCCAACCTGTATCACTGTTGAAAGAACATTTGAAGCTTAGATCTTGTAACAGCACAGGCTATGATTGGGCATTGTACAACCACTAGCAGAACCAGCCACACGTCACTGATGCTTCCCTTAGAGCTTTTTGCTTACAGTTCTAAGTAGTGTCCCAACAACTCAGAGGCATGGTTTTAAGTTTGACAGGGACCCTGCAGATTTTAACATTAAAATCACCTTTCATTCAAAACAGCAGAGAGTATTTGAACAGCAGAAGCTGTCTTAGTGAAAACGTAATTCAGAAACAAGGTTTGTTCTAGCACTCCCAGGATTAAGGTCAAGCTTAAACTCAAAACCATTAGGAAAAGAGGTTCCTATACATCTACCAAAGCAAGTAAAGCCAATTGATGACACAGATGTATGATCAAATATATAATTCTGAGACTATAGCTGGGACAGGCCACCAGCATGCAAAAATCACTTCACAATTTAAAGACAACAGCAAGTTCCACTTCAACAGGCACAACATACATTAGAAAAAAGTATTTATCCTTCACATTTAAATGGCAGGAAAACACAGCGCACCGGAAGTTTCAAATCCAAATTGACTGCAGAAATTTCCCCCACCTTATTATTCCAAGCTCTGGACACAAGTTTAGCATTGTACTTCCACTGAGAATCAACTATTTACACTACTTACCAGTCATTTACTCTTACATAACGCATAAACAAATGGCTAATATACTGAGTTCCACCATGACATCTTTGCATTATGTCTGTTGCCCAAGTAAGGAGAGAAGCAATATTCAAAACAAACCCCAAAATTGAAATGCCATGTGAGAATACATTTTTTGGCATCACTCAATAACTATGTTGAAGTAAACCCTTTTCGATAACAAGTATTTTTTTTAAATAGTAGATAAAGCTAGAATTAAAAGATGTATCTGTAAAATGCTACAGCATATTCTTAAACAAGCTGTAAGGTTCACAAGCAATGCCTCAAGCAGGCATTGACTTTTCAATATTTAGGAAATATTGAATGACTATATTTAAATACAAACAACCTTCAGGAGATAATCAAGAAGTTCAAGTCTTCCATCAAACCTCATATCAGAAGCAGAGGAGCTTTGAAATATTACTGAGATAGGAGTGCAAGAAAATTGTATCAGTACATGGACTTCCAGTTGCAGTTTAATCTTGCATCTCATATAGGCACTTAATACTGAATTAGTGAGTAACAGTCATTACCAAGTATGCTAACAGACTGAGTGACAATTTGGTATCAGTTACCGGCAGTTAACCATATTTCACAGCACTACACATCAATCCAAGAGAGCAGAACTGTCAAACGAAACATTTGGATCAGTTTAGGATTGGGTAATCAAGCTAACATGGAAGACTCTGAAGGAAAATTCAAGGCATGCACTGAGATACCAAATTACCACTTCATGGAAACAACATCTTTGAAGACACTCAGCAATGCAATTGAGAAGATCTACTTTTGTTGACAGGAAGCATCTTTCAGGAACTGTGACACACAGTTCATTTTTTCTTGGAAAATTGTTGTAATGCAAAGAAGAATCCTCAAAGACCCATTTATTGTGAATTATTCAGAGTTCCAAGTTTTCAGTGTACTCAGTCCTCTTCCCAAAGTATTTAAACCATTTAAAGCAGTAAATCAAGCAGAAGTAGATACTAGGAAATAGTAAGATGACTGTTGGCAACACTATTTCATAACCTCAAATTTCTGTATCATGATTAAATGACCTAATCACAGGCACATCAGTTGTCTATACAACAGTATAGCAATTCAAACAGCTACTTAAGAAGATCTCATGACCACCTCTTAAGCCTCACACTCCTTTTTAAAGGAGATCTTGCTGTGTGGTGCTTTCCTTTTTTACTAGAGGCCTTCAAGACAGACACATGGCACTCTCTTCAAACTTCAAAGGACTGAAGTGGAGGGCATATCTGAAATATTCTGCAGTATTCTCATTCCTGCCATATCTTTCAATCATCAACAATATGGAATTCACAGCCAATAATTTCACAAAGCACTGTTTTTATGTGAAGCTACATTCTAAGTCATTACAACACTAGCAGGAAAAGCTGCAGTTTATACACTATGACCAATAATAGCTAATTTGTAACTAAGTACTCTCCAAAAAGTATCAAGTTATTCGAATGCTTGGCTAAAAGTCTGTTTTATGGAGTATGAAATACTTAAGGTAGCTAAAGCTGCCAACATTAGCAGGTTTATCAATACTGGCCTAATAAACTGCAAGTAGTATTTTATATGCACTGTAATTCATAATGGATATGGCTATTCAGGCCACTACCACCAAATAAGATATGGGATAACTACTGTTCAGTATAGTAACAGCATTACCTATTGTTTTCCAGAAGTTTTAATCAGGATGTATCAAAACCCATTGTCGTGGTTTAAACCCTAGCCAGACAGCTTGTTCACTCACTCCCAGTGGGTGGTGCCAGGCTGAGAGCAATCAAGGGCCCCACCCCCCACCACAGGGCTCTCCCCTTCCCTGCTCCCAGAGGAAGGGGGAGGAGGATCAAAAGAGTGCAACTCCCACGGGTTGAGACAAGAACACTCCAGCAACCAATGTACAACACAAATCACCACCGCTACTATCAACTACAACAATGATAAGAGAAAATAACAAGGGAAGAGAATACAATACCACTCGCCAAGAAACGAGTCCCACCCGGAAGCCCGTGTTCTTCCGGGTAACTCCCAGTTACCCCCCACCCCGGCCATGACATGCTGTGGTATGGAATACCTCTTTGGCTCGCCTGGGTCAGGCGCCCCGTCTCTTCTTCCTCACAGCTTCCCCTCCTCCCTGGCAGAGCATGAGCCTCACAAAGTCCTTGGTCAGGGTAAACATCACTTAGCAACAACTGAAAACATCGGTATCACCAGCACTGTTCCCAGGCTGGAAGTCAAAACACAGCACTGCACCAACTACCATGAAGGAGAAACATGACTGCTACTGCTGAACCCAGGACATTATCCACCCCTTATTCCATACCATTCACATCATGCTCAGATCCCACATTTTCAATACACCATCGCTCTCCCACATATATACATCCATATACACACAGACCAAGAGAAAGAGATCATTTTCTTACTGCATGGACCAATCCCTATAATGCTGCTGAGTCCATTCGGTCCATGATGTCAGGTTCCATCTCTTGTAACAATCTTTCAGGGCAGGAAAGGCGGTGTGCAGTATTGGATCGTTGCCTGCTGATGCTGGTCGTTCCTTTACTGCAGAACTCATCCGGTTCTATCAAAGTTCATTCTCTGTTGGGATGATGGTTGCAGGGAAGTCAGGGCTAGTCGCTGGTGACCTGGAGGCATCTATTTGATGAGCTATAAAAGTATTACACAGCAGGCAAGAGCATACAATTAAGTTCGTTGGCCGTTTTCCCCTAAAATCAAATCCCCTTGAGGTATACATCGGACTTACCCATCTTCCCGCATTACCCACCAAGTATATCCAGGTCCCTGAGCAAAAGCAATCCCACGAGTGGGTTTGCCTTTACCTGAAGCAGGAATAACCCAGACTG